ATCCTGAGCCTCACTCTGTCACATCTGATCCGATCCGCCGCCTGCAGCCTCCTAGAGCGAAAAACCCAAACAGCTGCCCCCTTCGGCCTGGGAGCGCAGAGGGGAAGCAGCCCCGGCCCGCCCCTACTAATCCGCTGGCATCGGAGCCAAGCTCCTCCCCCGCTACCACTGGGGCCCCGCACGATGCGCTGTCCAGCGAGAGCCGGGATAAATCCCACCTCCCCGCTCGGCTCCGCGCCCCCGCCGCGGGCAGAGCCTCCCTCGGGCAGCCCCCGTGCAAACCCCTCTCCCAGTCCCGAGCATTTCACAGCGCCAGGCTCGGCCCCAGCGGCCGCTCTGCGGGAGCCTCTCCCGAGCGGCTCGCACAGGCGCGGGGTGCGACAGCCCCTCACCGGGGTGCCCCGGCCGGGGAAGTGCCGCTCCCCGGCCCCCACCGAGCCCGGGAACTGCGCGGCCGGGGGGCGGCCAAGCACCCAGCAGGCGCCGCTTACCTCTTCCCCCACGGCCTCCGGGCACGCAGCCGCCCCCTCTCCAGCACCGGCGCGCTCCCCTCCCTGCCGGCACCAGCCACCCCGCGGCCGAGCCGGGAGCCCGGTGCCTGCAGCCCCCGCGCAGCCACCTGCACAGCGGGCGGCGGGCCGAGCTCCGCGCCCCCGGGTCCTAGCGCGCGACATCTTCCTTCGCCAGCCGCGTCCGTAGGGCGTGGGAAAGGAGAGCGAGGGGGAGGGGCGAGCACGGCGCATCGGCTCCCGGGAGCGCTCTCCGCCGCGGGGACACCGCGGCCAGCCCTGGTCCTGGAAATGCAGCCGGCAGAATACTGCTTGGTACATGGCTACGCATCCTGCCCTCGGGGATCGCAAAGCTGAGCCACACCCTGCTCTGCGTGCTGGGACTCCCCCCTGAAGTCAAGCGGAGTTTTGGCTGAGTAAGGACTGCAGGACTTGCTTCATTAGGAGATGCTTCACAGCGCTGGTTTTGAAGCTGGAGAAACTGAGGCACGGAGAGGTTAAATGGCTTGTCCGGATCCTACAGTCAATCAGTGGCTGAGCTGGGAACAGACCCCAAGAGTCTGGGCACCCCAGAGTCTGGCTGTAACCACTAGACTAGACTGTACTTCTTCCTCATAAACAATAATATGAATATGGCAAAATGGAAGGTGCATTTCCAGGGACAGGGGAGCTATTGCACATGCAGCACCAGGGCATGGAGTCTCCGAATACATTCCCGGCTAGCCAGAGGCAAGACAATGGCTCAAAGGTGGATTTGAAGGCCTCGCTCTTGAGGGGTATTTTAGATTAGGTTTTCAGGAGGTTATTGTATAGGTCCTGTGAGCGGGGCTGTATTATAAAACTAAGGAAACAGATATACGAAGTGGAAAGGTAGGCCCATCTTTGGGATTGGGACCCAGCTTCTGATCCCACTCCCCCATCACATCATGAAGGATGGTTTCTGGATAAAGAACAGACTTGTGACGTTCATCTCATCGGTCTGGTCTCCGCCCCAGCAAAGCACAGAGCAGCCCTACACCTGCTTAGTATGAAATGGCTCCATGTGGCTCCTTAATCCTAGCTGCCATGTCATAGGTTCACCTTGGTTACTGCCTGTGCTGCACAGTTGCCATGGCAGCCCAGCCCAGCAGTCCATGCTCATTTTCCAAGAGGAGATGTCACAACGAACCTGTCTGGCTGGGAAAGCCTGGCCCTGTGTGCTGTAATTCAACTCCTCCCCTCTCCCTCTTGGACGGACTGCCCCGTCCCCTCCGGTACATTGTGTGGAATCGGGGGCTAGGGGGTGCGAGGCAGAGATGAAAGCTGCATGGCTGTCAGTCTGGCCACAAACTAACCCCCCAGCACTTCAGCGATACAAGGGCTATGTGCACAAACCATATGCTAGCACTTCACTACAACCCTCTGGAACACAAGCAGCCCTGTGGCTGGCGTGCTGAGAAATCCCTCTGCATAGGTACATTGTGTGGAATCGGGGGCTAGGGGGTGCGAGGCAGAGATGAAAGCTGCATGGCTGTCAGTCTGGCCACAAACTAACCCCCCAGCACTTCAGCGATACAAGGGCTATGTGCACAAACCATATGCTAGCACTTCACTACAACCCTCTGGAACACAAGCAGCCCTGTGGCTGGCGTGCTGAGAAATCCCTCTGCATAGCATTAATCTCCTCTAGCCGGCCACCGAGACCGCTCGGGTCAGAA